AAATTCACTGGTTTGTTGAGCCTGCTTCTCACTGCGATCCAAACGGTTCAGCCATCTTGTACCATGGAGACATTGTGCCAAAAGACCGGGCAGGAATGGCCAGTCTAATAACAGTATACTTGTGGTCGGAAGATCTGCAGTGCCGAAACCTGTAGGACACTCGGACTGTGGTCACCAATCGCGGTGTAGGTCCTTTCACTTTTGCTGACCAGTGACACAAAATAATGCACAATGTTATACAAATAAATTACCCTTCCATGTTTTCCTTTTTGCATTCAAAAGCTGAACGGACCTTGTTTTCAAACAAACAAACAAACAGCAATCAACAAGCTGTCCGTACAGTCTTGACTGCATTCCGAAGTTGGTGACAACAAACCTATGGGAAGCAACGTACAATCTTGGATTGCTGTCTTTTGGGTGTGTTTGGTGCACTGGAAGCCAGACCCAGTCTAGGTTCATTTTCACTAAGAACGATTATCAATCAGCCTCAGGCTTTTTTGTATGAAGCAATCCCACCCCGCTTGAGAGTGAGCCTGGTGAATACTTCAGCTGAGAGGAGTACTCTAAGGTTGTGTTCATCGCTTCTGTCGGCCAGTGCGGTTCTGAAAAGAACTAAATTCCTTCTTTCATACCATGTTCCCACTGTGCATGTGCTACGAGTGACAGCACTCGGAAAAAGTTTGAAAGTTTAGTCTCAGTAAATATTGGATGCACATGCCTTTAGATAAGATTTTATTTAGATGAGATAGATGATAGTGAAAAGTCAATCAGCCAAGTCACGATGTTCTGTATTGAGGGCCTAAAGACGAGTCATGCAATCTATTGTGAGGCTGTGAGTCAATACACCTTCCTTACACTGTTTTCTGCATTTTGGGTTTACAATCTAAGCCGTTTGGTGGCGCAATCACATTTCGCATTCTTTAAAAAAACTGATTTTTGATTAATTCAGTTTTGAGGTTTTGCGCGTCATCCAATAGCGAGGTTCACAAATGCCGTGTGAATCAAAAGTTAGGTTTACTGCAGTTGAAAGCTTTTCTACGGCCACATTTGGAGCCAGCTTATTAGGTTTAGGGGCAACGTAAAAAGAAACTTACATGGTACGGGAATATGATATAAACCAGAATAACCGGTAGTTAGGAGCTTAACATCGACAGCAGTGGGTGATGGTGGTATGACCAATATGGTTTTGTGGTTGCCCAGTGCCAGAACGACACCTGAGAATGCAACGGTGCCAAACACATGCTAATCCGGCAATACTGAGAAACAATTTGCAGCTGGTACCAAGTTGCAAAAAACTCCTACCATTACCTGATCTGGGAAAACCTCCTAGATGTGACTCCAATGAGCTGCGGTGGCCTACATGTACGTTAAATTCTTCAGTAGGTACAACCGTACACGAGCACTTTGTAGGGGATATGAGAATGAATGGCTCTCGGTCAGAGGAGTTCTTCAGCAAACATGTTATACTTCCCATAAAACGCTTTTGCTTTGTTGTGTACTTTGAAGACATGTGGACCTGTAATCTGCTCCGCCGCTTTATCTGGAAACATTTCGCATTTTGGGTAGAATCTGGAGCCTAAAACATCAATTCAGAAGATGCCCTACGTACAGTTATTATTCCTTCCGTCGACAACTATTCTGCTGATGGTTAGCTGCATGGGATAAACAATGCAATCTATGAATAAAAGGTGTTCCTTAGACAGATGACCATTGGTTCACTACAATGCGCATGAGAAAATTAAAAACCCAGACACTTAATCAGTGCCCTGCGGGAAGCTGATATTTCATAAGTATGTCCACCAAGGTGTTTCGAAATACCTATAGACTGGGCTTGAATTATGTTGGAGACAAACTGTAAAATGACAGAACTAGTTTGTTACGACCACTTACCTAGCTGCGAAGTGAATATGAAAGAATTGATGCGCTTTTTCTGGCATGAAAATGTTTAAGAAACGGCGGTAATTAGAAGGACAGCGCCATCGACTCCACTTCAAAGATCTTACAGTGATCAACCTTCAAGCGATGGGTTGCAGAGGGCCAACTTTGTGGCCTATTTGACACAGTCACACACTGACCTAACTAAGATTTTGACTTCTGGAGAGTGATGAATGACCTTTGGATCTTAAGAACTTCTTTAAAACGATGCGCTCGCTCGCCTACAAAATCCTAATTACCCACAGTAATTTGGATAAACAGTCCCCCTGAGTGTGGGGCTCATAGCCAACAACCTCATATGTTCTAACAGGCTCTACGATGATAAGGAATCAGCAGTTTTTCATTTGGTGCACTCCCGTTTAATCCACACTGGGTCCAATCTTTGCTTTTGAACCCAAAAGCAAACAGGACAGCAAGAATATTTCTACGAATAATGTTGTATATAGGTTGGTGAGAAATTTATATACAAATGATTACCGAAGCTGAAAAGTGTGTGAATATGGATCCATAAGTTATAATTTGGCTCACCCTAGTTGCACCGGCTAAGGGCTGTGGTATTTTATATCTTTTTTTGCTTCCATTATAACATTACGTAGTTTGTCAACTGAATAAACCGTCTTTAGTTGAACATAGAAAACTGAAAAAAACGCGATTTTTGCACAAGTACATCGATACAAACGTGAGCACGTGCTTCGACTTTCTCTTCTGATTTCGCTTGCGCCTACAGCGGTCATTCGCAAGCTTTGTGTGCTAACTCTGGTATCAAAACATCTCACATTATCTCCGGTATTCATTATAGGTGGGAATGCTCAAAAGAGGACCCCCAGACAACCATGTTTGGTTTATTATTTATTCACAGACCTGGGCAAACGACGAAGTATTCTAAAGAGAATAATTCTCAGTGACTAATTTCCATCTGACCTCTTTATTACCGTACGCTCAATTTAGCGTTATTACTTTTATTCGTTTGCCGCACACTCCTGATAACGTAACTTTTGTGCAGCCAGACCACCACAGGGCAAACAGGGCGCCATCCAACATAAGTTAAATTTGCGGCAGAACGGCGGGATAATAAACTTCAGTAGAAGTGTTTAGCGGATCAAAACGAACGCTTGCTACAATTCTGGTTTGGTCAAGAAGCACAGTTTGTTCTGAGAGGCAAGAGGGCAAAATAAAGTGTGTGCGGGTGTGACATCCGGCTGGGAACGGCCCAGTCTAAACTGAACACAGAAGCACTCTGCACAAATGGTGGCGGCTTCACTTCGCGTATATATATCTGGTGGTGAAATTGTCCCAATTCTCATCCATTTCATTGTGGATTTGAGACCCCACTATGTTGGCGGTTGAAAAGAAGACTCTGCTGCCCGTTGTTGCCTCGAATAACCCTCCTCCGACTGTTGTCCAAGTTCCACTTAGCCCCCTTTTTCTCTTGTGCCCTTCGGGTGAACTGCAGCCACTGAACGACAAGAACAAATCCGACCCGAGAAACGTGAGCGAAATCCTCAATCATGTGTATCGATCCTTGAATTTTTAACCGTGAATATCCCTTTACCAGTTGCCTACCTTATAAAGACATTCAGAATCTTTGCATGAAGACAGCAACACACGCTGGAAATTTAATCTTGGGCTCACTGAGGCTGCTGGCTTTTCTCTTCTGCAAATTCGGTCTTACTCCGTAATAACCGCAAAGATAGGTGGTTATGTGCGCTCCCTAACCTTCTTTGGACTGAGCTGTCCAGTTCGTGTTGGCGACGTTGACGTTGATTATTCACTTTTACCGTGCTCGTCATTGCACACAACAAAAAAGGCCAAAAGTTTGAAAGATTCCTGCTGTGAGCCTTTGATTACTTGCACTCTTCATTCAAGGAATTACTGACGATGGTTTCTCGCGGGCTTAATATTGACCACGTCGCCAACGCTCGTTGCCAGCGCTCCTCGTTTTTGAGCCTCCTGATGAGTATTGTGGCGTTTGGTACCTTTATTTTACTTCCATTATAACATTACGTATTTCATCAATTGCGTAATCGTTTTTTTGTTTGAATACGAAAGACTACAAAAACGCGCAATTGTACAATTTCACAGAATACAAGCGTGGTCACGTGTTTCGACTCTCTCTTCTTCGCTCGCGTTTGCAGCGTTCATTCGCGAGTCTCACATGTACTACTGCTGGTACCAAAACACTTCAAACCACTTTCGGGATCTATTATATGTGAGAACTTTTCAGAAGAAGACCTCTGGACCAACATATTTGGATTATTGTTTATTCGCTGACCTGGGTCACCGACGAACTATTTTAAATAGAACAATTGTTAGTGAGTCTGTTCCATCTGACCTCTTCATTATTGTATACCCAACCTAGCGTTATCATTCTTATTTCTTTGCCACACACTCCTGGTAAACTAACTTATTGGGTAACCGGACCACTACAGTATGCCGCCGCACCAGTATGTCACATTTTTGGCATTTAACAGGCGGCTGCGGTTCCCAGATAACTGTGGGCCTGATATCATTCAGACTTGTACCTTAGCAGCACAACTCGGTTATTAGTCTGTTATATGGCTGTTAAATTCGATTACTTGAAGGTTATTCAACCGTTTACCCATCACCCGATCAACATGAAGTATTGTTGCCGCACTCATTTACTCAAGAGTTTCTTACCATATAAAGTGTTGGCATAAAACAAAAATGCTTTATTCAAATTGATTTTCAGAAACCCACTCTGACATTTTTCGTTTATCTGCATCACTGTTTAAGTAAATGGCCGCCAAGCCCATTTCCTGAATCTTCGCTGACTCATGCTCCTGTTGTCTCCGCGTGATCGTGAAGTTCTATCTCGAGGAACAGTAAATCATGACTGCTGATACATGTATGATAACTGTAACCTTCCAACCGTGGTTTGCTCATTTCAAAGTGAACATTTAACCGCAAACTGAAGCGTGCTAGAGAGTTAGCCCTGGAAGAACCACCCAATTCGATGGACGCACGCGACTTTCACTATGCAGAACCGAAGATCGATTCACCAGCGCGTAGTAAAAATGCCATTAGATGACTGATGTTCTAAGTAGATGAACAACAAAATGAGGCCTAGTTTGGCGGACATTTTCCGAGGCTGGATGATTACAGTACCGTAAATCTCCTGCTTGTATCACTGCAGCATTAGCTTCCTGAACCGCCTGGAGACCCGCGGACACTGATGAGAACGCCCCGGTCATGTCCAACCAGAAAACTGTCCCCAGGAGAATACATCCACTTGGGCATTGCGAACGGGCTTCGCCGGGTTGTGCCGACTCGCCACCACAACCTCATATCATCCATTTACACATGAATGTAGATGGGAAGAAGCTGCACATTAACGGTACTACCATAATCTGGCCTATATTAGTACGTATTGTGCGGCCTTTGACTAACCCGATATTCCTTGTTGGACTTTATGGAGGAGTTCGTAAGCCCGAGGACGTTTGTACATACCTACATGACGTAGCGCAGGAACTTGAAGAGCTCCTGCTTCTGGGAGTTGTCGTTAATGAGCTGCATCATAAGGTCATGTTAGATGCAATTATTTGTGACAAACCGGCACGCTCCTTCGTCACACGGATGAGAGGTCACAATTCCTACTATGGTTGTGATAAGTGCTGCATAAAGGCGCAATGCTTCCAAACAAAGATAGCGTTTCCATATGGGCAGCATGTTTTGCGAACTGACAACACTATCCGTCGGGATACTCGTAACAGTCCGTCTCCATTCTTTACGATACCCACTGACTTTGTTTGTAGTGACCCAGTCACCCACGTACTTGACTGTTCAGCTCACAGTCACTCACTGGATCGCGAGTCTTGTCTTTTTTCTCATACTCACAAACACGTCACATTAACCTGATTCATCGGACACCGACTGTCTGCATCGCCTAGTGAGCGGAGCAACCATTCATCTGCCGACGCGCCCACGTACACGCACTGGGACCTACATAAAGGGGAACCGAACCCAGTCACAACACACACAGACTCGCGCACGCACAAGGAGAAGGGAGTCAACCGCTCTCCACCATACCACAGACAATCATGGAACACGTGTAGCAGCCAAGTTGCGGAGAAAACACGTTCCCGCCGTCCGGACTTTTGTCAAGGGACTCCAATATACGATAAGTTGCCCTTTGACCCGCTCCCATTTTCGCATTGTATTTATTTTTATACGTGTCGTGACCATTATAAAAACGTCTATTAGTGCACGTACACCTTCTGCTTCGTGTTATGGCCATCCTCACCTATGCACTAATACGTTCACTACTTTCCCATAGATTATATGCACGCCGTATGTCTAGGTGTTGTGTGTAGTTTAGTTTCCACTTTCGTAAACGGTGACTGACCAGTACGCATCGGGCCTGCTGGCTTGAACAGGATAAATCGCATGATTCGAAATATACGTGCCACTATGCCCGTGGATTTCCCGCGTAAGTGCCGGGAAATTACACTGTACAAACAGCGGAAAGCGACTGAGTTTCATCAGCCGTTGTTTTACATCGGTCCCATCGTGTTCAGTGGCATTCTATCCCAGGAATGTTATCAAAATTTTATAGATTTATTCATATCCGTGTATTGTCGTTCCCATCGTCATTATTCTGTTTCACACCTTGATTATTCGCGACAATTATTGGTGATATTTGTTGACAAGCTCCAGGAACTGTGTGGCTCGCAGGAGATGGTGTACAATGTGCATTGTCTGCTGCACTTACCGGATGACGGCTCGTCTCACGGGTCTCTGAACAATTTTTCAGCATTCCCTTATGAGTCTTACATGTTCACACCTAAGCGCCCTGTACAAAGTCCCACATATCCTGTTCGGCAGATTTATGAACGCCTGCAGGAGTCAGAACCGTATCTAAAAATGCCCCGGGTAACCAACCCGATTGCGATGTGGGCTTCCCTTTGAAACATGTATCACTAAACAAAAAGCGTTTCTTTTGCCTTGGTAAAGTTGCCTCATCTGCCAGCCCACCGGATAACGTTGTATTGGTAGATGATTTTCTGTGCATTGTGACAAGGGCGGAATATCCCGACACGGCCGACTCCACAATAACGTATGTTTCATTTCCTTCCCCCGTTTTACTACTGTTCACCCATATGCTTAATTCTCTTTTGCTAAATATTTTGGTGGTGAACAAATTATCCACAGTTGTAAGTAGCTGTCCCCTCTCTTTTGTGCAATGCAAGTACGCCATGCTTCCATTTAATGACTTACTTGTAGTTTTCCCATTATTACACTCTATACCGTAATGTATCTGTAATTCTATATGCCGTACCAGGCTTATAGTCTAGTGAAGTTCTATGAACAGGGCCTATGTCAGTGTGCAGTCCTCAGTTCTTCATGGATTGAGGGCAACTGTGCTGCTTGGCCAAAGGTTCACTCAAAGGACTTTTATAAGGCCGCTCGCCTTCATTTGGAGCCGCCAGCTGGATCAATGAAGCTAACTTGCGAAGTCATTCGGACTCATGTTAGGTGTCACGTTGACTGCATTAACTTTTCAGATGACTTCAAAAAGGCACGCGAATATGGTAAGTTCGAGTACACATCGGACCTGGACATTTCAGATGTGACGGTTGAGGAGGGGTGAAACCATCCGCGTCGAAAGTAGGACTACCGTGCGTGTTGTCGAGACTTCTTTCAGGAACTCAGAGAACGTACACATCGGACCTGGACATTTCAGATGTGACGGTTGAGGAGGGGTGAAACCATCCGCGTCGAAAGTAGGACTACCGTGCGTGTTGTCGAGACTTCTTTCAGGAACATCAGAGAACGAAGCCCCACTCTGTCCATCGGTCCATCTCCAAAGAAACCGAGGTTAATGGTGTCAAACTCTCCGCCTTACCCCAACTTCTCGCAGACAACTCACCGTGCTTTGTTCCACTTGACTCCTGAACGCGATCCCCAGCACTCCGCATCCGTTCCGTCAACATCCAAACAGCCCGCGTATTTGTTGCCGCAGACGGTACACCGTCTGCCACATTATGTCTTAAGCACCTCCCCGGCGATCTCTATTTTTCCCGTTTTATCCCCACAACCTGCCCCTTTTTACCAAACCCCAGGAGTCGCAGCACCGCTCCGGCAGAACGAACAGCTGCTTCGAAAAATGGACGCAATGGCAGAAGATCTTCGATATCCGAAGATCCGCACTGAAAACCCATTGTTGCAAGTCCATGTTTCTGCTGGAACTCTGGGCTTCACTTTCCCCCTCCGGAGTTAAGGTGCGTGAGACAAATTGGAAAGTGTGCTGGCAGAGAGACCACACCAACTTGAACTGGAAATTCAGTGTTGTTGATCTAATTTTTTGGCCACCGATCAAATACCTCCGGTATTTCGTTGCGACCACCATGGGGAACCTGGTGTGCCTCGGTCTCAAACAGGCGTTGGCTGACGAATTCGCTGTCATTGTCGCCTACGCTGAGTCTGCCGACAAACTCCCTTTCCGCCACACAAGACTGCCGCTTGATCGAAGGTAAGTGATCAAAGTTAGCTTGCTCACTGTCGTTTCAGAAACAGTTCTATGTAACCCGCTTTCCAAAGACTGTTCCCGACAGGATTTGGATAGGGAAATCCAGAAGTGGTTTGGTAACGCACGTCATCGACTGGCCCAGAGAACGCGCCTGGATCAGTTGGCAGTAAGTCTCGACCTTGCACTTGGACAAGTTGATCGGTAGTGACCGATACGTCGAATGCTTATACGTTTGTTTTGCCACTGCTCCGGACGTCCGCATTGTACCAAGAAGCTGGGATTATCGCATTGGACTCGCCTCCGAACTGACTTGGTTTAATTGTGGAACATTTATTTTTGTACATCCACTGCGTTTTTCATCCTTGTTTTGCGTTCTCTAAGTGCTCTGCATAAATGGTCAATGATAACAACGTATCAACGCGACTATTTAACCATCTCCATAAGGGGCCGGAAGTTTGGTGTACAGCGACGTTTAAAGATTCCGTTACTAGGCCTTATTTTCTGCAACGGGTACGACGATGTTTACGCGTGTGGTTACAATTGTAGGTAGTAACGTCACAGCCATGTTGCGGTTGTTAACCGTAAACCGTTCTACACGACCATCCAACCGTATACCTCGATTGATAAGTGGTCAAGAAGCCATCAGATAGTCCATTTAGGGAGGACTACGATACAGCTATTCAGCGTCTCTGTAGCTTTACAATGCAGCCAACGCGTGGTCACGCATACGGTGTTCAGTCGTAATAACGCGGTGGACTAAGTCTAGCGACAGCGATTAACGGTAGTATGCTGGTGATTTCACCATTATCCACCGTTGAAATGTAGTTTAATGATGGTTATTATTCGTCCAATCACCAATAAACACGGTTATTAAACCGTTTAATAACCGAAAAACATGGTTTTTAACGGTTATTTAACAGAACAATAACCATCAAACACGGTTATTTGACGGTTATTTAGCAGAGCGGTAACCGAAAAAAACGGTTATTTGACGGTTATTTAACTGTTCAATAACCTGGAACCACGGTTATTTGATAGTTATTTAGGTACAGATATCTGCCTGTTAACCAAAAAAGGTTGTTATTTGACGACAATGTAACCGTCGTATAACCGGAAAACTCGTTTTTTGGACTACTTGTGCTGCTGGGTATTGAAGAAAACGGTTATTTGACGGTTATTTAACTGTTCAATAACCTGGAACCACGGTTATTTGATAGTTATTTAGGTACAGATATCTGCCTGTTAACCAAAAAAGGTTGTTATTTGACGACAATGTAACCGTCGTATAACCGGAAAACTCGTTTTTTGGACTACTTGTGCTGCTGGGGTATTGAAGTTTGTTGCGGCCGGACCACATTCTCTGACAGTCCTCTGCCGAAGATCAGTTATGTGTCGGGCCACATGGGTGGTTGTTACAGAAGCCCCAAAGCCACATTTGGATGACCTGGGATTCGCATCTTCTGAAAACGGTGACTACCTAATTGATGCATCTGAACCTCTGATTTGACCACATCAGGGTGAAGTAGTTGAAGTGGTAGTTTTTTATTGGGACCCAAAGCTGAACGACTCATATGGAAACTTTAGCGAATGGGATATTTATATCCATTTGCTTTTGGATTTTTGAGCTCTCGACAATCCCAGTATTTTCAGTTCACCTGCTTCAGTCACCACTGGTGTAGCCTGGTGTTTCTGTGCTAACGATCTTGTTGTGTCTCCTTATTTGAATTGTTTAGTTTACCCGCGGAACCTGGACCTTTGGTTCTAATTGAGAAGTAAATGAGTGAAGAAAAATTTGTAGCTTTCGGCTAAATCGGGGTAACCGAGAGTGGGTTTAAGAGCTGTTTTATCCATCCAAAGTTTGCAGCTTAATAAGCGAAATTAACCACCGAAACTGTCTTAATTGCAGTGAACTTTGCGTCGAACCACTGATGATAAACCAACCGCGATTGTTATGAAAGGAAAGGTTCTTTAGGTAAAGAGATCGCTTGTTGTTTCTGATTTCGTAGTGTACGTCCATGTGGCGCATTGCGTTTCCGGGGCTTAGCACAGTACCGTTTGTGCGCATTCGGAGGCGGGTTCTTTTGATATAATGCGCAACAAGAATAGCCCCTTTGATGACCACGGAGGTGGAGGGAGCGGTATAGTTCTTTTTATGCTTTATGGCTTCAAAAAGTTAATAAAGCTATTGAAGTTTTGTGCTACCATGTTCTGCCGATTACTCGTAAACAGTATATGTTGGAAGTTAAAACTTCATAATTAGGAATGTCTAGGTCCAGTGAGTTTTCTGAAATTATCCTTAAATTTGATTCCTTTAAGTGAGCCGGTCTCCAAGGTCAGAAATTGCCTCGAATTAGAAGTGTCTGATGAAATGAGACAAGGTAAATTTTGAACCGCTTACAACGGACAAAAATGTGGGTATCTTTTTGGAAGAATATTCAATGGAAATTGCTGGAACCTCAGCTGTTTTTGTGGAATATCACCCGGGAATATTATACCCGTGGCTAATTTATTCCGGTAGTATCTTCCTGCCGAAATTCCATTTCTGAACCTGGAAAAAAGCCGCTTCTATTAAGCATGGTGATAGATATTCGTTATAATAGGATTACCGGTACTAGGTTTGGAGAATATAAGGTTTGCAAATGATTATGGGACACTCCCAAAGGTCGAGTTTTCTGGTTTACAGTTTGATATCACCGTGGAGTTATTCAGGTCCTTTTCACTGGCAAAGGGCTTCTTCACTGTAAGTGGCGAAACATGTACCATATTCTTTAAACCATTGTTGGTCACATTACCAAAATAGACTGCCCCAGGGCATACACGCACAGCCTAATCGTAGGTAAGGGACTAATCATGAGTCCATTTGGCGCAGTAGTTTAAGGTCGCTCCGGAGCCTATGTGCTAGTAATATGCTAAAAAGAAAGCCTATAGCAGGCGTTGTTTAAGCGATTCATACAGCGGAAAATGTGTTGGCTGTTGACAGAAAGTGCTTAAGACCGAACGTCAAGCATTATATGTGCATGCTTCCTAGTTTGGTGAGCCCGACTATTTCTAGATATTTTTTAACCTTTGCTTTCGAATCGTCGTAAGTTTTTCTTCTGTCCGGTCATTATAGAGGCACAATTCGATTCATTGGATTTATTTGAGCCCGAGTATTTCTAGATATTTTTTAACCTTTGCTTTCGAATCGTCGTAAGTTTTTCTTCTGTCCGGTCATTATAGAGGCACAATTCGATTCATTGGATTTATTTGAGAATGCAATTGGCATACGTTTACCACAGTTTACCGCAGTCCCAGGGTGTAGTTTCATCAGGTCAAGGCTACTTCTAGTGGAGGACGTACAACTTCCCACGCCACCCACTTCTACTGTGTCGTCCAGCATCTTTCTAGCGATGTAGCAACGGAATTAGAAAATATGTTGAAAGATATTCCCAAGGAAAATCCCTATGACGCACTTCGAGCGGCCGTCATCAGTAAGACAGGAAAGTCCGAAAACAAGATGCTGCGAAGTTCGTTCACCACAATCGAATTTAGCAAGAGGTCGCCACCAAAACTACTTCAACATATGCGCAGTCTTCTCTGCGGCCGTAAGCTTGCGGTGGAAATCATGGCACAACCGTGGCTCAATATACTCTCACGTTCCATGTCCCGCGTCAACAGCGCTTTCGTCGATGATCACAGCTTGGAGCAGCTAGCTTGAATAGCGGGCAAAATCCACGAGACCTGCCCCAGTCACCGCTTTAACTCCGTCTCTCGCCCTATAACCACTACACACACAGATTCCGATCCAATACTTTCTGCAATTTCACAACCACAAACTAGGTTGGATACCCTGACTGATTTTCTGCAGCGGCTGGAGATCAACAAGCATCGACCACGTTCACGACCACAGTCGTTGACTCGTACCCGTCCCTCTTGGTGAGGGTATCACCAATATTTTGGTCCTAAAGCACGCAAAAGGCAAACCGCCTGGTTCCTTCAAGCCGCGTTCTAACAGCCATTTATACACCTCGGCCAGCCGGTAACTGCAACGACTGTCTGTTGCCCTCCTCGCGCTAGTCGCCTGTTCCGCACCACAGATTGGTCAGGCGGTCCACTTTTCCTCGTAGATACGAGAGCTAAAGTTAATGTGCTACCACATAAGAATACACTTCCGATTCTGCTTCCTGATCCTTACAAGCCGCTAACAGTATCCATATCGCCGCATACGGCGATCATTCCCCCACCCCTAAACTCGGATTGCGATGTGCCTGCAAGCGGATTTTCCTTTTGGTAGAGGTCCGAGCACCTATCATTGATGCAGACTACCTGGCCCTCTACAGCTTACCTGTCAATGTGTGACACGAAAGTCTCCCGGACATGCTAATTTTCCCCTCAGTCAACGGAATTAGTGCCCCAACTTCATCCACAGGTATCCGAGTTATCTTACCTGATTCCCATTTTGCTGATATACTTGGGGATTTTCCTACCGTTACTCATCCATGTCACTGCATCCACCTGGCCACTCATTTCATCGTTCACCAACTCCAGACGAGAGGTCCACCTGTTCATACCAATCCCCATCGACTTCATCCGGGTAAGCTATAAATCGCAAAACGCGAGTTCGGACAGATGTTCGAACTCGGCATCATCCGTCCTTCATCGATTCATTGGTCGTCACTCCTACATATGGCTCCCAAGAAATCTAAAGGGGATTGGAGACTGTACGATCCTGTGCTAAGACCGCGATCTCAAAGCAAGTAATAGGTTACTTA